TTTTCCCGCGCGCGCGCGCGCGCGCGTGCACACACACACACACACACACACACACACACACACACACACACACACACACACAGGCGCGGAGTTAGAAAGTCTCAAGGTACAAGACTCAACTAGTCGTAAACTCATTCCCCATTGACAGAGACCATATCTTGAGCTTCACGTCTTTATAAGCGACCCAGATCTTTAAAGTCATTGTTTTCCCCCAACGGAATAATATTTTAAAAACCATGGAAAGTTTTAGAAATGTGAGAAATAGATTCCGCTGGTTTGACCCTGATTCACTAATTAAAACGATCCTTCTCCTGTTATTCCCCGAGCTCTTTGCGATATTATAAGTTAATTCATATGGTTCTGAGCGATTATGCAAAACTAATTTGGACTGTCCAGGGGTAATTATCCCTGACACGGTTAATTAAATCCTTTCAAGCCTTCGTCTTTGCCTTTTGTAGCAACCCATCACTTCTCAACACGGAACTTCCTGCGGCTAGCTGGAAATCGCCCCAGCCCTAAATCTTAGTTACCTCCCTGAGCCTTCCAGCTCGGCCCCACCGGCCCGAAGATTCTCCGCCCCCTCCTGCCCCCTCTTGCCCCCTCCTCTCTTCCCAAAGATCAGCGTTTTCTGGAAGCAACGCTCTAGAGTGTTGATGAATGAGAAAGAGACTAGAAAGATGGAGAGAGGAGGAAGGATGCCTGGGGTGAACACACAGGGTCACATCGCCAACAGATTGTGCGGCTGTGCGGCTGTTTGAGTACGTCCACAGGCCCACAGAGGGGTGACTAGTTTATCACCGCTCTGACTCCAGTGATCTTGCTAACCGGTTGCTCCTGGAGAAAGCAAGACTGTGCTTAAGTAAGGAGGAGCGACTCTGGAGCAAGAAGGCATGGAAAGAGCCAGGTGTGTAAGAGTCTGAAAGTGACCCACAAATACAGCGGTGGGACTAAGTCAAGAGCTGCTGTGGGCTCAAGATTTATTTCTGTACGTCTTTCTCCGTCCTTCCTTCTTCCCTCCCTCCCCTTCCCTTCCCTCTTTTTGTTCTTTCATTTTCCCCTTTTAAGGTTTAAAAAAGCTACGACGACATTTCTTTGGTAGTCACGTTTGCCTAAGGGCTTTAAACAAGTTTCACATCCAAGGGGCCAGCAGTATTGTCTTCCGGCTTTGCGCAAACAGGTGGAATTGTTCTGTTTGAGCTGTAAGGACCTGAGCTGGGAGACGTGCGAGGAATGGCTTCTGGGGAACCGTGGAGTTGGCTGCTTTTGTCACTTCATTTGACAATTTCCTCTCCCCTGCACCCCAAGAAACTTGAACAAAACAGCGCGGATCTCCCTCTCAACCCTCGGCTGGGGGTTGCCTCGGCTCCGGGAGCCTAAGATGGAGAGACTGTTCCACCGCCTTCCTGGAGCAGATAGGGGACCGGCGCGCCAGCCAATCAGAGCGCGTCTCGGCGCGAGCGCTCCCTGCCGCCGCCGCCGCCGCCGCC